TCCACCAACCCAGATCCCAGGAAGTCAGTCACAATTCCCTTAGAGAATGGCTTGCAAGAAGCTGAAACCACAGACCAAACACCAGCCACCCTGAAAGAATCACGCTCCAGAATTTCCAGAGGAGCCTCTTAGTTGGGGGCAAAGTGTATGGAGTTTTTCTTCTTCTTTTTTTTTTTTTTTTGCTGAGAAAGACTGGCCCTGAGCTAACATCTATGCCCATCTTCCTCTACTTTATATGTGGGATGCCTACCACAGCACAGCTTGCCAAGCAGTGCCATGTCCACACCCTGGATCCAAACCAGCGGACCCCAGGCCGCCGAACTTCTAAACACACCCTTTTGCTTTAGACATTGTTAATTTGATCTAAATAGCTAAGTTTTCTACAGATGAGTCCGTGAACAGTTTTTTATAAAATTATGAGAAATAGTATCTTCTTATAAGTCTCATATTATAATCTTATATCTCATTTATAAGAGAAATAGTCATGGGCCATGTCAAAAAAATGTCTTTTTTTTTTTTTTTTTTTTTTTTTACTGCTACTGTTGTTATTGTGTAACTTGGGGGCAGCAGAGATGTTTCCAGGCACCCAACGGTGCTTCCACTGGGAAGGGGCAAGTCCATCCTGCTTTAGGAGATTTCTAAAGTCTGTAACGCTGTGGGGAGACAGAGCCCTGCCCCAACTTAGCGAAGGTCGTCTCTGGAGCTGAGGTGAGGCAAGGGTCCCTGAGCGGAGATGCTGGGGAGACCTCACATCGCCTCAGAAGAGCATCCAAGGTGGGCAAAGAGAGAGGGGTCTCCCTCAGACCCTGGCAGGGACCCAGGCTTGAGAAACCAGTGATTCTTTTGTGAGGATTCAGATCCTAAAGTGGTAGTGGTGGCTGCTGTCATCGGCCATACCCCGTGTAACGTACCCTGGCAGGCTGCTGTGAAAATTAGGGAAGAAAGTGTTGATTACATAATATATTTTTTAAATTATTTCCTGATTTCTGTACCAGAGGATTCTTTTTTTCTTTTTAACATGACTTTTTTGTACGTATGGTCAAATTTTCCATCAGGTTCCATGCTAGTAACCACAAATGAGACTTACATTTTTGGGTTTGGAGTTGCTCGTGTGGGCAAAACCCAGCACTTGTACAAGCAAAAGTGTACGTAAGGAATGAGTTCTTGTCCCACTTAACTGTGGAAAAACCCAGCCCATGCCATCAACATCCACACAGCGGTCGACATGCTGACACCAAAGGGGCCCCGCTGTGTTGCCTCAGGCCACGGGTCAAGAGCAGGTGTCATTTCCTTCAAAAGCCTAGTAGTGAGTTCTGTAGCCAGAATTGGGCCTGTTATGAATTATTTCAGGCAACAGAGGTATTCTCAAGCTTCATGTCTGTGGAAGGCAGCTCCAAACTGGCCTTCAGCCTCAGGTGACTACCCTGCCCCCACCACAAGCAGCCTGCTAATAATTCAAAAACTGAGAATGTGCTTCTAGCAGAAAAAAGAACTTTCTAACTGCCAAATAATATTTTTCTCTCAAAAGGGAAATAATCTTGTGCAAGGAAACCTTTTAGCTGTTAGTTGGCCTGATGTCATCCTTCTTCTGCATCTTCATGCTGATTTACTTTTTCGTCAATTAAAAGCCAGAGTACTTACTTTTAACCTTTGAAACACTTGTGATTTATGAACCTCAATTTTAAAAAACAATTTCAAGAAAATAACTCCCTACAATTTTTCTTGCTCCGTGGGACCACAGGAGTTTCTCCACAAAAATCCTTGATTTGCTTCCAGAGCTTATCTCATGATTCCTGTTGACTCTGGGAAGCCGGGTCATTCTAACGCCACCTCAGTGAACTGTTACCTCAGCGAGTTGGGCCCAATTGCCAAGGCAGGAAACAGCCCTTAGCAACTTTCAGCATCTGTCTCCATCCTTTGAAATGTATATTTTAAAGGTAAAGATGAATATTTCTCTAGTTAGAGAAGAATTCAGATATTGTCAAAGGAAAGTTTTTTCCTGCATGTGAACATTTTTCTAGAAGTAAGAGAACCCAAGCTTACCGCAAGTGTATCTTTAGAAAGCTGTCTTCGCTGTAATTATACATGACACAGAAAACACATTCGGCAACTGTGTGCGTACATAAATAGAGGGATTCTCAGCGGCGTGACTCACAGAATTGCATGGTGAAGATTACAAAGTCCCACATAGGTAATAAGCACTTTGTAGAGAACAAAATAAAAAAAAAAACAGAATTCTGTGTTCATATTAGCTGGGTAAGTCTCAGATTTGTGAGAGAAATGAGGGTTTGTTGAAAACAATAGCAACACCATTGTTCCAGCTAAATTCACTTATACCAGTGTGGCTTCTAGCCCTTGGTAAAGAAGAGTTTTCTTGAAGGCTTTTCATCTACTTCATCATCATTAGAAATGATTCATTATGTCCCGAAACTTCAGAATTCTCAAGCAAGACAATGAAGTATATTCAACCCTTGTAGCCCTTTTTTTTAAAAAGCATTTAAACATATGCATGCTTAAATACATACACATACATGGTTGTACACATGTACATATATCCACACCCATATACACGTGTAGACACACAAATGTTATGTGTATATGCACATAGGTATATATGCATACATGTGTGTACATGTGTATACATAATAATATGTACACATATATCATTTTCCAATCAGAAAAGATCTCTCTTCTGTCAAAGGATGATCCTCTTTGACACTAAAAATTGTCAGGGTGAGGGGCTGACCCTGTGGCCGAGTGGTTAAGTTCGTGCACTCTGCTTCAGTGGCCCAGGGTTTCACCAGTTCGGATGCTGGGCGCAGACATGGCACCACTCATCAAGCCATGCTGAGGTGGCGTCCCATATGCCACAACTAGAAGGACCCACAACTGAAAATACATAATTAGGTACCGGGGGGCTTTGGGGAGAAAAAGGAGAAATAAAATCTTTAAAAAAAATTGTCAGGGTGATAATCATGGCTATGACAGACCTTTTCTCATATAGATTCACTTTTATTTTGGGTTAAAAGAGAGTCATTTATTATTGTTAGAAAAATGGGCTTCCTTAGAAAATCTCCTGTTGACTTTGATGTACTGTTGGGTATTTTTCATAGGCATTTTTCTCATCCTTATCACAGAACCTATACTCGTGTCATCTTTTAAATCAGTAGTTCTTAACAGGGGGTAATTTTGCCCCCCAGGGAACATCTGGCAATGTGTGGGGATATTTTTAGTTGTCTCAATTAGTGGTGGAGCCAGTACTGCTGGCATCTATGGGCAGAGGCCAAGGATGCTGCTAAACATCCTACAATGCACAGAGCAGCCCTCCCCCACAATAAAGAATTATCAGGCCCCAAATGTCAATAGTGCTGAGGTTGAAAATTCTGTTTACACTAAAAACCCCTCTCTCACTCAACATTATCATTCTCCTCGCATCTTTCAAAACTGAGCCAGCTCTGATTACCCAGAAGTCTCCTCTCCATAATCAACCAAAAGCATACTGGCACGCTGATGACTATTCACCCTTGAATGCCAGGATCATCAGTAGCCTAGGTATTTAATTCTAGAAATACGCCTATCTTCTGTAAGATACAAAATCATTTAAATCTAATTAACGTATCTCTTGGGAAATGGTATATAATGAAAGCATAGGGAAAAGGAGTATGTGTGTTAGTTTCCTAGGCCTGACACACAAATGACCATAAACTGGATGGCTTAAAATAGAAATCTTTCTCTTACCGTTCTGGAGGCCAGAAGTCCAAAATCACCGTGTCGGCAGGCTTGTGCTCCCTCTGAAGACTCAGGGGAGAAGCTTCCTCGCCTCTTCCAGTCTCTGACAGCTCCAGGGATTCTTTGGCTTGCAGCTGCATCACTCCAGTCTTTGCCTCTGTCTTCACATTGCCATCTGCCCTCCCGTGTCTTCTCTTGTCTCTTATACTACACTTGTCATTAGCAATAGGGCCCACCTGGACAATCCAGGTTGATCTCATTTCAGGATCCTTATTAGATCTGCAAAAACCATTTTTCTAAATAGAGTCACATTCACAAGTTCCAGGTGAATGTATCTTTTGAGGGGCCACCATTCAACCCACTACAGTGTGTGTGTGTGTGTGTGTGTGTGTGTGTGTGTGTGTGTGTGTGTGTGTGTTCAAAATCACTGTGATGAGGCCAGACTCAAAACAAGCAAAACATTTTCTCAAAGTGTAAAGTAAGGTTTGGCAGACTTTTTCCTGGATTAATAGTGTCACTGCAGCTTCTTTCTATTAACTTCAAAATTCCATCGTCTCTATCTACAAACTGTTTAAAATAAAGACCAAGTCCCAGAAAACCTGGTGGCCAGAGAGAATGCCAAAGAGAAATGAGCAGGGCTACTTCCCAGTAAACAGCAAGTGTTATTCAAGACAGGTGAGGTTCAGCTTCATTTAAAAGGTCATACCCCCACAATCCTTCTAGATAGCTCTCAAGTGTTTTCACTGTTTCATCAGGGGAAGGCAAAAAAGATCATGGAGCTCAAACAAACCTCTAAAAGGAAGAAGAAAGATCTTGAAAAGCATTTTGTTAAAATCTCTTTATTTTAGAAATTAGGAAACTAAGATCCCAAAGCCTTCCATCTTTTATGACTTGCTCAAGGTCACACAGACAGGAGAAGACTGAGGCCAGATTAGAAACTCAATACCGCCATCCTAGACCGATGTTCTTTCTCTACATACTACATTATGTCTAAGCTACTTTTCCTCCAGCTGCAAAGTCAATGCATTCTCCTGGTCTTCTTTGAGTTGAATGGAGAGGGGGCCACCATCCGTTGGATGCATTCTTTTCTTATACATTGTATGAGTCAGCTCAGCTGCCATAACAAAGCATCTGTGTCTTAAACAACAGAAACTTATTTTCTCACAGTTCTGGAAGGTGGAAGTCTGAGATCAAGGTGCCAGTATGGCTGGGTTCTGGTAAGAGCTCTCTTCCTGGCTCGCCAGTGACTGCCATCTCACTGTGTCCTCACGTGGCCTTTCCTGGGTGTGTGCACGTGGAGAAAGAGAGAGAGAGAGAGACCCTCTTGTCTCTCTCTCTTCCTCTTCTTCTAAGACCACCAATCCTATCAGATTTAGGACCCCAACCGTATGACCTTATTTAACCTAATTACCTCCTAAAAGCCCTATCTCCAAATACAGTCACCTTGCTGGTTAGGGCTTCAATGTGAATTTTGGGGGGACATAATTCAGTCCATGGCACACCCCTTATCATTTTATGTCAAGAAAGAGTATTATACTTTGAGATATAAATATCTCATTTAATCCCCTAGACTTTTTGATTTGCTCCACTTAACAAATTGAGCCACTGAGGCTCAGAGCAGTCAATTGGCTGGCCCAAGCTCATATAGCAGGTATGATGCAAGCTGGAACTCAATACATGCTTTTTATTTGGATTCTAGAGCTCTTTCCCAGTGTCCAAGATGACCTTTTGTATTGGTCATCTTTTAATAGCTGTCCTTATAAAGCATCCACATACACTGTGAAAACACATGGCTTCTAACAAGGTCCTTAGGGAGACTGTCTATGAAAGTCTAACATTCTGATTCTTGTACTTGACAATCTAACACATTAATGACTTAAACCCCACAGAAGTGAAACGGTTTAATATGTCATCTGTTCTCATGTGCACCAGGAGTATATCTTGAGAGGAGATTCAGCTGTTCTCACAGTAAGCCACCAAGTCCTACCAAAAAAAAAAAAATCATAAAGGAATAAATGATTATTCACGGTGCCAAAAGCACATGTATTTTGAACAAGAAAACATTATGTTAAGGAATGTGAGAGAGAAAACCGATGCAGATTCATTCAATGAGCTTTTCAATGAAACCTCTAAGATGGAACACAAGAAATGCTTCATTCCATTCTGTGGTATCAAGGTTTTACTAAATATAAAAAGCAAAGCTATTGCCTGTTGTCAATGATATAAATTTCTAGATGATTCTGGGGATAAATTTAAAAACTTAACACGTGAAATATATTCACTGTTACATAAAGATAAAAAAATTATCACATTTACTTGTAAGAATTATTAATTTTTATAGGTCGTGATGACACTGGTGTTATTATAGAACAAGAATTATTTTAGAAATGCACATGGAAGTAAATATTTAGAATGGAATGTTATACGTCTGTGATTAAATTTCTAAAACCTGAAAAAATGAAATAAATATACACTAAATCTCAGTAACAGGTACATGGTGGTTCATTATACTATTCTCTGTACTTTTATCTCTAATGATTTTATATCTAAAGATATATCTAAAAATTCATAATAAAAATAATAGGATATGTTAGGAAGTTACCAAAATCTTGGAAGCAAAATATTAATAGTGCATTATTTAATAGGCCATGACTACTCAGTGGTGTATGAATGAATGGTCCATATAAGAAGATTCAAGAGAAAAGATAGGCATATATCTGTTTAGAGAAACACATCCCATTCTTCCCATTTCTGCTGCTGGAATACACATTGATCAGTAGATTTGGAACAACCGTAACTCTCCCTATTTTTAGAATTGAAAAAGAATATGAAAATTCCATTTTGAGCAGGATGGGCCAATTTGATTTTTTTTCTTTTGGACGTACGAAAAGCTCTACATAATTAATGTATACAACTTGATGGTTTTGGAGATATACACCCATGAAATCATCACCGCAATCTATGCCACAAGCCTATCTGCCACCACTAAAACTTTCCTCTCACCCTCTTATTTATTATTATCTTGTGATAAGAACAAACCAAGATCTACCCTCTTAGCAAATTCTTAAGTGTACAATACAATACTGTTAACCCTAGGCCTTATGCTGTACAGTAGACAGTTTGATTTCAATAGCTAGCATTATTCATCCTGTGATCTGTGGTAAATGCAAAGATGCAGCTTCAGGAGAATTTAGTCCACATCAACTAACATTAAAGGCAGAATTTGTGTGAAAGCACTCAAAAGCACACACACATTTTCTTTAAGCTTCGATTTGAAAGACTTTTTGAAAGGTTAGAAACCTTCCCCCGTGAGGGTATTCAAAAAGCCAGAAGTAGTTTTTTGTCACTTGCTCTGAATTTTTTTCCCAAGATGAAATACAGGAAGCCAATTGAGAGTAGCTAGTAAATTCAGTCATGTTAGGGGCCCCATGCTTCCCCCTTCTCTCCCAGGCGTGCACAATTCTTGCTCCTACCCAGAAATACAGCAGCCAGAGAGAGGACAAATATGACCTTGGGTTTAAGTGGAGCCTCTGGCCTACCTGACGGACTTTTATTCAAATAAAGCTCCCCATTTCATCTCTGATGTGAATGGTGTGAGTGTGTATGAGGGCAGGAGGTAAATACGCCAGGAAAACAAATCTGGTCACACACTTGAATTCTCTTCACTCCAGTCTCTGGGGAGGGCACCATTTTGCCTCTGGAAGCTATTAGTCAGCATTATCTTCCAGTCTGCAGACATCACAATAAATTCATTATTTTATTTGAGAAATAACTTTGTGATTGACCTTAGAAGATTAGAGAATTTGGAAATATATTGGGTTAGAAAAGATGCTAAACCAAGTTACAGGAAAGAAGACTAAACGTTACCTTATAAGAGGAAGACAAATGAGGCGTGCATAAGTGAAAAGTCCACCTGCGAGCTCTCTCGCAAATTATCCCTGAGTCTAGAGGAATAAATGCTGTCTCTTAAATACCCAGTAGCTGGAGACAAAGAAGCAGTGTGATCAGTGGACCGTCTCGCAATTTTAGGAAAAGTTGACATTCCAGATATAATATTTTTCTATTAACAAAGAAATAATTGTTTCTTTAAAAAAAAAAATCACCTCTAATCCTATCCTCGGGAAATGGTGCACCATTAGCACCTTGATCCATAGACTTCCAGATGCTCAGAGAGGTTTTCCCTGACAGATCTAACTAAAAAATGGCCCAATCCATCAAGATCAACCCCACCGTGAAAACTTTGGGTGGCAAAGGTCAGAAAATCCAAATCAGACTAGTTTAAGCCAGAAGGGATATTAATCCAGAGGCTCAAATGATGTCTCTCTCTGTATCTCAGATCTGCCGTCCCTCGTGATGGCTTCATTTGCAGGTGTCCTGTGATGAAAAGATGGCCACCAGCAGCAAGAAGCTAACTCCCCCAGATTTGAATCCCTGAGGAAAGAGGCTTTCCTTCCTACTTGCTTTTGCAGAAGACCAAAGACTGGTTCCAGCCGGATTGTGTGGCTGTCTCTCAACTAACTACTTTGGCCAGGGAAATGCAATGAACTCAGGAATGCTAGATGCCTGGGAAACGGAGAAGTGAGGAAGAATGCTTTTTTCGTCTCTAAGAATGAGTAATGGAGAGATGTTGCTTAGGCTACAGCGTCACAACCTATGAATAGTTTTTTAAATTTTTACTCACAGCTCCCTAAATATACCAGGTCATACTCAGAAATGTCATCTTGTCTTCCCAACTAATAGCCAAGCTTTGTTACTGACGGGCTTGCCTGCTTCCTCCTTCCCTCAGGCCAATGGTTCTCCTGGATGGCTTCTCAGTCTTGGGGATATAGATACCAAGCATCTATATCCAAGCTGACTGGAATCTCCCACTTTGTCACCTCTTTCTGTCTCTGTCTCTCTTTAAAACAACTGAACTCTTCTCTTTAGCATTGTCCAATGCGGTGTCAATTCAGAAGGTGTTTTGAAAGACAGCATTTGGTCGGCTTTCAGATCATTGCTATACATATGTAGTGAGGGACAAGAAACTAAAGGGAGAGAAGTTTGGCTCCATCTGTAATTACATAAGTGATGGATCAGATGGTACTGGGAACGAAGGGGTGAGACTGGAATCCCACTCCATCACCTGGCTGCCCACTATGGGTGCCAACTCTGTCTTCAGCAGGTACAGGAGTTCTGGGGTAAGTTATGAGTGGTCTAGTTTCTAATGCAATGTCTGAAGGCCTGTGTGTCATAATGGCCACTGTGATGGCAGGGCCACCTCTGTCTCTGTGGAGATAAAGATGGAGTTATCAAGGAAGGCAGGGCTTTGGCAAGAGCACAGACTCTACAGGCGGTTTTCTTGGGTTGGAATCCACAACTCTGCATCTTACCAGCTATGTAACCTTGAATATACCCTTGAAAGAGATCGCCTTAAATGAACGTAAACTTCGCCCCCGCCCCCTTGTATGAAAAAAAGACATATATTAAAACTACCTACCTCGTGGGATGATTCTGAGGATTAAATAGAAAATTTCGTGTGAAGGGCTTATCACAATGCCTGGTACATAAGCCATCCATAAATGTTCACTGCTGTGATTTCTATCACTACCATTACCACCAGCAAAACTAGATGGTGATTTAGTTCATAAGTTCAACATAAGTTCAAACCCAATTCTACCTCTTACTCTGTGATCATGGGCAAGTTCCTTAAACTCCCCAAGACTTAGTTTGCTTATCCATAAAATAGGAACCACAACAGTGCCTGCTTAACGGGGGCAGAAGTGAAGATTAAGCTAAATAAATATAAATATATCACTTGGCTCTCGGATGCTGTCTATCGTTTTATTTATACAGCATGACGTTTGAGGGGCTCTGATAAGCCCCCTTCACCTCAATACCTTCACAAAGAAAAACCTGTCCCAATGGCCATTTGTGTCCCAGGCATCCGGAATTCTGGAGTTGGAAAAGTACTCCTTCAATTTAAAGGCAGCATTCACTGTCAAACGTAAATACCATGAGGCGGCCAGGAGGAAGGGTCTCCAGCCAACAGCTCAGCATTTTCGGTGGCTTAGCAGATGCTTTCCAAGGTGACAATTTTAGGGAGGATGAGTGAAGGTAAGAAGGCTAGACAGAGGAGTTGTAGAGTGGTGTCAACAGCACCGAGGGGAGCCTGGAGTGGGAGAATGGCCTCAGATGCAGAGGTACGTGCTCCCGAAAACATTACTGACCTTCTCAGTTTGGTCAAAGATTCATGCCAGACTGTCTCATTAGGCTCAGGGCCCAGATTACTCTCCAGGTTCTCTAGGTCCGGCATCCCCACAACAGAGCAGGCCAACTTCAAGATTCGCAAACGCTTTCTCTAGATTTGGGAAAAACTAGGGCTTTCTGAAGAAACATTGAGGCCATATGGAAGGAGGGGTTTCCACCGCTCTATGGCCCCAGCTCTCTAGTCTTTTCCAAGCAGTATTGTAATGATGATACAATTTCCCTCTTCAGATGTGGAGAAACTGGAGAAGTGAATAATTCCATAAGACCACAAAGCACAGAGAGGCAAGGACTGTCTCAGAATAATGGGATGAGCCCAACAGAAAGAAATCTTCAACTTATTAGCCAAACACGTTTCCCGAATCTTCATCTACAGAGAGAACACTGGAAGGAAACTTGGGGAAATCTTCCTGACGCATGTTTTAAAATTCAACCAGACTAAACAATGGAGACCACAGGGAAGAATTCTCCCCGTGCCAGGTGAAAGAGTTCGAGGGCGGGACTGGTCTTGTCCAGCTCTAATTTCTGTGATCCCAGTTACCTGGGCTGCTGGGCCGGGCGTGGGGGCAGAGAGAGCCGGTTGTTCACACCGACTTTCAATTTTCATACGAGCAAGTTTAATCAGTTCCTCGGCGCAGCCCTCCTTTCAAGTTTCTGGAAACCTCTCAAGGGAGAAAATAACACTAAGAAACACAGAAATCTTTTCTCTTCTCCGCAGGCGTTTGTCACAGTGCCAGTTCCTAAGTGCACAAACTCTTGGCAGGCCGAATCACTTTGATATACTTTTCCCAGGGTTCAAAAAGAAAAGCTAAACAAAGGACTTGCGACTTCAGGGAGAGCAGAGGTAGCCAGGAGTTTCTGAGGAAGCTCATCTTCCTCACGTTTCTGGCCCAGGGGGAGGGAGTGTCAGAGAAAAGAAATCATCTTGTTCGTGGTTTCTGAGACTGCAGGTTTGGGGCCTGAGGGCATCTTGTGGGCAGCTGCCAGGGTTTGCTGTTCTTCCCCCAGGTAAAGTGGAGGGCAGCTTCTGTCAGCAAAGGTTGACACCCCACGCCTGTGTTTCGGTTGGCATTTTTTTTTTATAAAGCAAGGAAAAGTATTACTCATTTAAAACTGCTTCTCAAAAGGTATATGGATTTCCTTAAACACTTTTTCTCCATGAATTACATCCAACAGGAAAGGCAAAAACAGTGGATATTTTCTTTAGATTTTATAACAAACAGGATATGTCTAATTAAAACTTATCTGGGCCCTAACAACTTTGGCAGTTGGTTTATTTCTTCTAGGAATATTCAGAGAATTTATAACCATATTAAGATTCACGGTGTTAAGTGATAATGGCTTGGAGATGAGGACAAGTTTAAATATTAGCTATTAGTCATGGGGTTTTTTTTTTTGTTTTTTGGGGGGATTTTTTTGCTGAGGAAGATTCTCCCCGAGCTAATAGATGTGCCAATCTTCCTTTATTTTCAATGTGGGTCGCTGCCGCAGCATGGCTGCTGACAAGTGGTGTACGTCCGCACCCAGGAACTGAACCTGGGCCACCGAAGCAGAGCATGCCAGACTTAACCACTAGGCCACAGGGCTCCATTTATTAGCCATATTTTCATTATATGCTTTCAGCTTTCTGTAACTATCAGACTTTTCCCCTTAGCAGTCAGCCTTGCATCACCCCACTGCATAAGACAGACTTTAAACAAACACAGTGACAACGTTTTGATAGTGTACTTCTCTGGATATTTGCCAAGAATTTGAGACATAGGAAATAAAAACTCATCTTCAGTTTTTAATGGGATTGGATGGGGGCCAAGAAAATACAGCACAAATTAAGTGTCTTCTCTGATGACGTTGTGCCAATGACGTCATAATTGGAGCTGACACTAGGAAACCTCACAGCATCTCAGTTGTTATTCTCACCAGTTCCTTAGTCAATCGAATTAGTTTCTTCCCAGTCTCTGCCAATTTAAGAAGTATGAGAACATTGCCTAGCCTAATGGGAATGTGGTAACATGTGTCTCTGTAGCTGGTGGGTGGAAGAAAGAGAGGTTTCATTTCCCTGATCTTCTAGTCCCTGGCTGCAGGCGAGCAAGGTAAAACAAGGATGTTGACTGTCCCAGACTGACCCTGCCTGGCTGCGTCTTGAAAAGGTCCACTGTAGCCCATGCTGGGTCCAGCTCTGCAATGTTTTGTGTTCTCTTTTTCCTCTTTGACCCAGGGTGATCAGCTTCTAGAGGATGACATTGTCCAGATATCTATGAGACTGACCCAAAAAACCAGTGTATTAATTCACAGTGATAAACATAGCTCCCAAAGGCTCAGAGTGGCTCTTGAATATGATCAGATCATTCTTTCCTCTGGAGGAAAAGTGACATGGGGATCTAAACTACATTTAAAAGGCAGCTTGGTGAGTGTGGTGTCAAAGTGACACTAATGGGAAGTGCCACTAAGGCATGATAGTTGGAGTGCTCCCCAACTCCACTTCCAGGAAGGGTTCTCATAGAGGACAGGAGGGATGTTGTTTTGGTCAGTGCTGACACTCTGATAAATTAGTCTCCCAATCTTTTTCTAGAATTCAGGTAAATCACCACCATCACTAAGTGATAAGGCAATAATCCCTTTAAATATGTAATCTACTTGTATTGAGTAGATTACTGCATTCTTTTCCTGAAAAAGCAAAATATAACAAAACACCCTGATGGCTTTGACAGGACGCAGGGAAAAGGTCTAGGGACCTTGATTGAATCTGTGAGACATCCTGTATCTCCTAGATGGCAATTTGGAAACACAATAGCTTCAAGGGCAACACGCACATTGGACTCCACCCAGAGTGCTTACTTCTGCAGACGAGCAGAGGGCAAGCTCATCCATAATGTTTTCTCTTCTTATATTCACCTTCGAAAGTGACGTTTTCTGAACTCACTTCCAAATGTGGGATTGCATTCTGCTGCCTGACTGCTGTGTCAGTGTGTATCCCAGGATACCAGCCAATTGGCAGGGGCAAGAAACTTTGTAGCCACAAATGCTTCTTGTGCTCGTGGAGCATCTTTGCCATTGAAATAACTTTCGTTCAGTGATAAAATAAAGGGGATTCTAGAGGGTTTCCATGTCGAGCAAGGTAGAAGAAGAGTTGTAGCCCAGGATCTACTCAAGGAACAGTGTAAAAGGAGTTAGAACCATTAGCCAAGATATTAAGGATTATAAGTAAGATTCTCATTTAAGGAATAATTCATTAAAGTCACGTATAATTGTGGAAATTCTTTCAATTCCCTCACCCTCTTTCCCAGTATCTGAAAGATACTAGAGAACGCTAACAAATAAGAAATTATTTTTCTTTTTCTCCCTTAGTGAATAAATTTGTTCATGGCTAATTTCTTCTATTTAATAATAATAGCAACAACTAATATTTATTGAGCACTTTACACCAAGAACTAAAATAAACCTTCTCAACTACTTCATGAGTTAAGTCCTATTGTTAACTCTAGCAGGCATCAGGATGAGAAAATTGGGCAAGTTGCTTAACTTCTGATGCCTCAAGCTCACTTAGCTTGTAAGTGGCAGAGCTGTTGCATGAGCCCAGGGTATCTGACCATAAAGCTTGCCTTCTTAACTACTAAGCAATGTGCCTTCTCAAAATTTCAAACTATAAATACTTGTGTAATTTGGCCTAACCCATTACCTCCATTAGTACTGACCCTATAAACTTGATTACCATGCTGAAGCTGTTTCTTATTCCTTTCCCTTCATGAAAAATAAGGCAAATGTAAAATTAGAACAACCTCCTGCTCTATTTCTCAGTGAATGACTTTATTATCATCTCAGCCAATATTGAAATCCCCATTTCAAAAAAAATCTCCACCACCCACATTACCTTCATTGTTAATATTTATAACATGTGGTGAAAGGGTTTAGGACTCAACTTCATTGTTCCAACAAAAATTCA